GGCTAAGCTGAGCACCAAAGGGAAAAGTTCATGGCGTTAAAAATTGTAATAGCAACTAATAATGGCACCAATAAGAGCCTGATTTCTCTAAACTACAACTACGTAGTAGGTATTCCTACTCAGAAGAAGATATTTGAGTGTTTCAATGAGAGCGTTTTTTTGTGAGCACTGAAAGATTCACCTTTTCTCCAGGCAAAAAACGCAGATCGAGAGAATCAAGCGCCATATTCAAATTGGGCCGATAGCGAGTAGAGTACTGAGAAAATTCGATTTCACCACGCGACGGCCAATCTCTGGAAAGTTGATTCTGTTGTTCTGTCTCCCAAGCAGCCTGTGAAATTGGGATGGTTAACAAAGAATAAATCAATTATATAAATTATAATGAAACTTTGTTGGAAAATGAAGGAGTGGGAGTGAAGTAAATCATAAATGCATGCGATTTTAACCTCACGAAACATCATTTCATGTCCAGACACCCGATAATAACAGAAGGATTTGAGCAACATTAAAGAACATAATTGCCGTCTTCCTTCTAAAGGCGATAACAAGAAAATTAGGAAAACTCTGCCTCAGTGCACAAGTGGAAAAAAAGTCGGTCAAACTCACTTCGAATAACTAGTTGATATGCTATATGTTATAACTCATAAATACATCTAAGTTACATCAAATGGGAAATAAGGAATGAAGATTCCAACTATTCTTATTTAGCCTCCAAAATAGGAATGGGATGAAACAAAATATTTTAAATAATCACAGAAAGTAGGACTCAAGCATATCAGTATATCAGTCATATAACCCTAAAAGAACGTGAGACCATAACTCGATATAACCAAGTAGATGGTCTAGACAAAAAAGAAGTCTAAACGCATTTTATATACAGAAAGCTTTGACATAAACCTCCAATAGAATGCATTAATAAATGTATTAGTTACCACTGCCAGATTTTTACAAAAATTGTGCAGGCATTTAGAACACGTAAATTAAAATAAAATTTTATATTAATTCAGATTGCAATAGCAGAAGCAGATATTTAAATATAGAGAGGTTCCTGTCACCCAACCTTGCTAGCAGATCAAATTTTTTTTAAAAGAAACTTTAGATCGTCCTTAACGTTAGTGTATAACTTTGCTTGCATGACTCCTGCTTTTGTGGTTTTTTAGATGTGCTCAGTAAACCTCTCATGACACGAAGGAAGAAAAACGTTATTTACTATAAAATGTAAATAAAGATTAGTCAAATATAAAGAAGGCAAAAAAATCGAAGTG